TGGGGGGGGGGGGGAGAGCAGTGCAACAACAATCCATGGGTGGTCACTGGCTGATCAGGGTGGGCAGTCACTATCAGCTGTTGTAAAAGGCAGGCATGCGTGGCCCATTTTCAATGCAATCCTAAACTCACGTAGCAAACGACCGAATAATCGCCGTACGGCTGATAGGTGCCCACGGGGCAGTCGATGCACTCAGTGGCAGTCGGGTCGCTGTACTTGCCCACACCACACGACAGGCAGGCCGCGTTGCCGGTGGTGTTGGTGTACGTGCCAGCGATACAGGGCTGCAAGTGGGGAAGGGAAGCAGAAGAAGAGGCGCCAACACATCAAGGGGGAGGGCATTCCAACAACGTTGCTGGGTGGTAATAACGTTGCTGGGTGGTAATTATAATCTGGCTGATCAGGTTGGGCACTGGCATATTAGCAGCTGTGAAAGGCAGGCATTTTGACCCAGCAACAGTGAAAGCCAAACTCACGTAGCAAACGACCGAGTAATCACCATACGGCTGATAGGTGCCCACGGGGCAGTCGATGCACTCAGTGGCGGTCGGGTCGCTGTACTTGCCCACACCACACGACAGGCAGGCCGCGTTGCCGCTGGTGTTGGTGTAGGTGCCACCCGTGCAGTTGGTGCACTGCGTGTTGCCATCATGCTGGTTGAAAGTTCCAGGTGGGCAGGGCTGCAGGGGCAACACCAAAATCACAATGGTGCGGAGATGCCAGAATGTTCCGTCCGGAATTGCAATCGCAGGTGACAGCAGGCAGTCGACGGTGCCCAAGCAACGGCACCCACCGTGCAGGATATGGCCCTAGCCGCGCTGATGGCACCCGGAGGGCAGGGCTGGCAGCTGGATGAGTTGGCTTCGCCGTAGCTTCCGGCAGCACACAGCTGCGGGCAGATGGCGGGGAAGAAGATGTGTGCGTGTGTGTATGTGTGGTGGTGGTGGTGGTGTTTGTGGTGGTGGTGGGGGGGGGGCACATGCGCATAGCTGGCATGCCATTTTGCTCCATCCCAGTGATGGTTGTTCAGCGCTTGCTGGCTTGCTGTACTGTAACACATTGGCTTGCTGGGCATGGCGCTGCAACGAAGAGCACAATGGCTTACCGATGCGGGCGGCGGGCTTGGAGGTGGAGGAGAAGGTGGAGGTGGGCTTGGCGTCGGCGGGGAGGGAGGAGGTGGAGAAGGTGGTGGCGGAGAAGGGGGAGGTGGGAAGGGAGGAGGTGGCAAAGGAGGTGGCGGGCTTGGTGGTGGAGGAGAAGGTGGATGGGGGCTTAATGGTGGCGGGGAGGGTGGAGGTGGCATGGGTGGCGGGGGGCTTGGCAGCGGTTGGGAGGGTGGAGGCGGGGCGGGAGGTGATAGGGGGGGTGGAGGCAGTGATGGAGGGGATGGAGAAGGAGGTGATGGAGAGGGGGGTGGTCTGCAAGTAGACAAGAAGGGGTGTAGCAAGAAGGGTGTAGGAAAAGTCTGTGTCGCAAGTTCCTTTGCGGATATGCAGACTGTAAACACAAAAAGTAAAAGCAAGCAAGCAGAGGCCGTAATTATTAATCCTGCAGATTTCACGCCGCTCAATA